CTCTCTGATGACAAGTGGGATTGTTACCAATCTGATCACAGAAGATGGCCAGTTCAGGCACCCTCTCCGCTATTGCTAGGAGTCTTAGCTGGGGTCATCCTTGTGGATTCCTGGGAGTTTCCCTGGCACCAGATTTCTCCCTAACTCCCAAATGGCTCCCCTCTATCAAGATATCTCTTTCATTAGTCTCCCTATCCATCCCACCCCTAACCTACCCAACCTGATCTGATCCCTCATGTTCCCATACCTCCATCCCCACCACTGCTCCCAGTTTACCCAGGAGATCACTTCTATTTCCCCTTCTCAGGGAGATCCATGTGTCTCTCTTTGAGCCTTCCTTGTTACCTAGCTTTTCTGGGGCTATAGATTGTAACCTGGTTATCCTTTACTTTACAAATAATTACTGCTTATGAGTGAGTACATACCATGTTTGTTTTTCTGGGTCTGGGTTACCTCACTCAAGATGATTTTTTTTCTAGTTCCATCCATTTGCCTGCAAATTTCATGATTTTTTTTTTTTTTTTTACTGCTGAGTAATATTCCATTGTGTAAATGTACCACATTTTCTTTATCCATTGGTTGAGGGGCATCTAGGTTGTTTTCAGGTTCTGGCTATTATGATAAAGCTGCTATGAGCATAGTTGAGCAAGTGTCCTTGTGGTATGATTGAGCATCCTTTGGGTATATGCCCAAAATTGGTATAGTTGGGTCTTGAGGTAGATTGCTTCCCATTTTTCTGAGAAACTGCCATATTGATTTCCAAAGTGGCTGTACAAGTTTGCACTCCCACTAGAAGTGGATGAGTGTTCCCCTTACTCTACATCCTTTCTAACATAGGCTGTCATTAGTGTTTTTGATCTTAGCCATTCTGACAGGTAGTATCTCAGAGAAGTTTTGATTTGCGTTTTCCTGATGGCTAAGGATGTTGAACAATTCTTTAAGTGTATCTGGGCCATTTGAGATTCTTCTGTTGAGAATTCTGTTTAAATCTTTACAACATTTTTAATTGGATTATTTGGTATTTTGATGCCTAGTTTTTTGAGTTATTTATGTATTTTGGAGATAAGCCCTCTGTTAGAGGTAGGATTGGTGAAGATCATTTCCCATTCTTTATATACCAACACAGTTCCCCCTTCCTCTCTTCCTCCTGCTCATCCCTCCCCCATCCACTCCTCAGAGAGAGTAAGGCCTTCCATGAGGAGTCAACAAGGTCTGGAACATCAAGGTGAGGCAGACCTAAGCCCTTCTCCCCTGGATCAAGGCTGATGAGGTATTCCACCATAGGGTTTGGGTCTAATAAATCAGTTCATGCACCAGGGATAAATCTAAGTCCCACTGCCAGGAGCCCCATAAGCAGACCAAGCCATGCAACTGTCATCCACATTCAGAGGGCCTAGTTTGGTCCCCTACAGGTTCCCCATCCATCCATCCATCCATCCATCCATCCATCCATCCATCCATCCAGAGTCTGTGAGCTCCCCCTAGATCGGGTCAGCTGTCTCTGTGGATTTCCCCATCATGATCTTGACCCCCCCCCACTTGTACAATCCCCCCTCCCTCTCTTCAACTGGACTCCAGGTGCTGGAACATTTTGTCATATTGGCAATGTCCTTTGTCTTACAGAAGCTTTTCAGTTTCAGGAGGTTTCATTTATTAATTGTAGATCTCAGTGTCTATGTTACTGTTGTTATATTTAGGAAGTGGTCTCCTGTGCCAATGCATTCAAGGCTACTTCCCACTTTCTCTTTTATCAGGTCCAGTGTAACTGGATTTATGTTGAGGTCTTTGATCCACTTGGGCTTAAGTTTTATACAGAATGATAGATATGGGTCTATTTGCATTCTTCTAATAATTCTTCTTCAAAACTGCAGACATCCAGTTTTGCCAGCACCATTTGTTGAAGATACTTTCTTTTTTTTCCATTGTATAATTTTGGTTTCTTTGTCAAAAATCAGGTGTTCATAAGTGTGTGGATTTACATCAGGGTCTTTGATTCATTTCCATTGACCCACATGTCAGTTTTTTATGCCAATACTAAGCTGTTTTTATTACTATAGCTCTGGTCTTGATTTAGTTTTGGTATGTGATACCTATCCAGAAAATTGTTTATTTCTTTTAGATTTTCCAATTTTGTGGAGTACAGGTTTTTAAAGTATGACCTGATGATTCTCTTAGTTTCCTCAGTGTCTGCTGTTATGTTCCCCTTTTTGTTTCTGATTTTGTTAATTTGGATATTCTTTCTCTGACTTTTGGTTAGTTTGGATAAGGATCTGTCTATCTTGTTGATTTTCTCAAAAACCAACACTTTGTTTTATTGATTCTTTGTATCATTGTCTTTGTTTCTATTTTATTGATTTTAGCTCTCAATTTGACTATTTCCTGTCATCTACTCCTCCTGGGTGAGTTTGTTTCTTTTTCTTCTAGAGATTTCAGGTGTGCTGTTAAGTCACTAGTGTGAGATTTCTCCAAATTCTTTATGTAGGCACTTAGCGCTATGAACTTTCCTCTTAGGACTGCTTTCATAGTGTCCCATAAATTTGGGTATGATGTGGATTTATTTTTATTGAATTCTAGGAAGTTTTTAATTTCTTTATTTCTTCCTTGACCCAGTGTAATTCAGTTGAGAGTTGTTCAGTTTCCATGAGTTTGAAGGTTTTCTGTAGTTTGTGTTGTTGTTGAATTCTAACTTTTACCCATAGTGATCCAATAAGATACAGGGGGTTATTTTAATTTTTTTTGTATCTGTTGAGATTTCCTTTGTGACCAAGTATGTGTTAATTTTAGAGAAGGTTCCACAAGGTGCAGAGAAGAAGGTATATTCTTTTTAGGTAATATGTTCTGTAGATGTCTATTAAGTCTATTTGAGTCATAACATCTGTTAGTTCCCTTGCTTCTCTGTTATATTTCTGTCTGGCAAACTTGTCCATTGGTGAGAAGGGGGTTGAAGTCTCCCACTATCAATGTATGGAGTTTGATGTGTGATTTAAGTCTCAGTAATATTTCTTTTGCAAATGTGGGTGCCCTTGTATTTGGGGCATAGATGTTCAGAATTGAGACTTCATCTTGATGGATTTTTCCTTTGATGAATATGAAATGTCCTTCTCCATCTCTTTGGCTAATTTTAGTTTGAAGTCTATTTTGTTAGATAAAAAGATAGCTAACACTGGCTTGCTTCTTAGGTCCATTTGATTGGAAAATCTTTTCCCAACCCTTTACTCTGAGGTAATGTCTGTCTTTGAAGTCGAGGTGTGTTTCTTGTATGCAGCAGAATGATGAATCCTGTTTTCATAACCATTCTGTTAGCCTGTGTCTTTTTATTGGCAAATTGAGTCCATTGATATTAAGAGATATTAATGACCAGTGATTGTTAAATCCTGTTTTTTTTTTTTTGTTTTGTTTTGGTGGTGGTGGTGTAGTGTGTGGTGTTTCCTTTCTTTTGGTTTTGTTGGTGTTCAATTATCTATTACCTATGTTTTTGTGGGTGCAGGTAACTTCCTTGAGTTAGAGTTTTCCTTCTAGTACTTTCTGTAGGGCTGGATTTGTGGATAGGTTTTGTTTAATCTGATTTTGTCATGAAATATCTTGTTTTCTCCATCTATGGTGATTGAAAGTTTTGCTGGGTATAGTATTCTGGCTGACATTCATGGTCTCTTAGTATCTACAAAACATCTGTTCAGAACATTCTGGCTTTCAGAGTATACTTTGAAAAGTCAGGTGTAATTCTGATAGGTCTTTCTTTATATGGTACTTGGCCTTTTTCCTTTGCAGCTCTTAATATTCTTTCTTTATTCTGAATATTTAGTGTTTTGATTATTATGTGGCAACAGGAATTTTTTTCTTTTTAGTCCAGCTTGTTTGGTGTTCTGTAAGCTTCTTGTAACTTTTATAGTCATGTCCTTCTTTAGGTTGGGAAAGTTTTCTTCTATAATTTTGTTGAATATATTTTCTGTGCCTTTGAGCTGGGATTCTTTTTCTGCTATCCCTATTTTTCTTAGGTTTGATCATTTCATGGTGTCCCAGATTTCCTGACTGTTTTGTGGTAGGAATTTACTGGATTTAACATTTTCTTTGACTGATGAATCTATTTTCTCTATTGTATCTTCAATGCCTGAAATTCTATCTTCCATCTCTTGTATTCTGTTGGTGATGCTTGCATCTGTAGTTCCTGTTTGCTTACCCAGAATTTCCATTTCCAGAATTCCTTCAGTTTGCGTTTTCTTTACTGCTTCAATTACAAGTTTCAAGTCTTGAACCATTTCCTTCACCCATTTGATTGCTTTTTCTTGACTTTCTTGACTTTCGTTAAGGGATTTGTCAATTTCTTCCAATTTTTTGTTTGGCTTTTCCTCGATTTCTTTAGGGGAGTTCTTCATTTTCTCTTTAAGGGTCTCTATCATCTCATAGAGTCATTTTTAAGGTTGTTTTCTTGTGTTTCAACTGCATCAGAATGTTCAGGTCTTGCTGTTGTAGGATCACTAGGTTCTGGTAGTGCCATACTGCTCTTTCTGTTGTTGAATGTATTTTTATACTGGTGTTTACTCATCTGTTCTTCCAACTGGTATGGGGTGTACCTGTGCCTATGTAGTCTGCTGGGGTTTCGGGGGAGGGCTGACCATGGTGAGGATGATCTGGTTTGTGGGGTTGGGCGGTGGAGTGGGTCTTGGGGGAACAGAATCCAGTGGGTGGCAGTGGTGGTGGTGCAGCCAGAGGACAGGTCTCTCACCTGCTTCAGATGAGGGCTCTTTACAAGAGAAATAGAAGAGCCTTTGGATTAGATGATTAAAAGGTCTGTGTCCCAGGGAAGATGTCAGGTGCCACCCCATCAAAAAAAGCCTAGATCTTTGTAGAGGGGATGAAGCTGTGACCTCATCCAGGCAAAGTGTCTAAGCCAAAAACAAGAAACTTGGGCATGACATGGTGACCTGCTTAGGGACTCATTTCCCGTTTCTTTCTGGATAAAAGGCCCTTGGGGAGACAGGCAGCCAGAAGCTCCTGTGCCAGAGGTGGAGATGAAGGAGAGGGAGGCCCCCGATGCCCACTTCACAGTGGACAAGCAGAACATCTCCCTCTGGCCTCCAGGCAAGTGCCAGCTATTGCTCCATGCCCACTTGGTGCTTATGCCCATCACCACTCTTCACTGACCCTTAACAAACTTCTGTGTCTCTTTCCAGAGCCTTCTCCCAAGCATGATCAGTCTCCAGTCCTAAGGAAACCTCTCAGCCTCCGTGTGGCCTTCATCTGTCTGGCATTGGTCCTGGTCACCTCTATTGTGCTTCAAGCTATTTTCTGTAAGTCACCAGGTTCCCAGATACCCAAACCCTTTTTGCTACTGTCCTTGGTGTCTTCAGTGTATGATGTTTCAGGAATTTTGCTGGTGTTTCTGGAAGCTGACCTGCTGCTGCTTCTATCCCAGGTTTCTTGGAGGATTTTCTGACTGACATTAGGAAAGATCTGTTCTCAGGTATACTCTTCAGTGTTAAGGAAACAGTCACCAAGTTTTACATCTCTGCCCTTGCCTCTCTTAGCATCCTGTCACTCACAGCTCTGAGACCCTTGGATTCAAAGCCTTGAGGATAGCTCCCAAGAGTGAGTGTGATGTCTCCTGATGTCCCTACTAGGGACAAAGTTCTCCACTGAGCAGATAGAGAACTTGGCCAAGCCAGCAAATCTCCCAGATCGTCTCCTCACTCTCTTGTATGTCCACACTTGAAGCCTTCTTAGTCCTCTTCTAGAAGCTTCTTGGTCTCTGCTGTGGTCACACCTTTCTCCCTTCTGCCAAGTCTCTAGAAAGTATAGGGAGGGAATGTCTTCTTTTCATGGACTACGTGTGTGGTCTCAGATTCTTTTTTTTATATATATAATTTTTTAAAGGATTTACTTATTTATATATTTTATGTATATGGGTACTTTGTCTGCATATACATCTGCACACCAGAAGAGGACATTAGACAGTTGTGAGCTGCCGTGTGGGTTCGGGGACTTGAACTCAGGACCTTTGGAAGAGCAGTGAGAGTGCTCTTAACCACTGAGCCATCTCTCTAGCAGCAGGGTCTCAGATTCTTAGCTGCATCCTTCCAGGACCCCAGGACCCCATCACTGACCTTGGCCTCATCCTAGACCCTTGGTCTTGACTCTTCTCTTCTTCAACACCTCTCTCTCTCTCTCTCTCTCTCTCTCTCTCTCTCTCTCTCTCTCTCTTGTTTGAGACAGGGTCTCTGTGTATCCCTGGCTGGCTTGGAACTCAGTAGATCAGGCCTGCCTGGAACTCACTGAGATCTGCCTGCCTCTGCCTCTTGAGTCCTGGGATTAAGGGCGTGTGATACCATGCCCAACTGTTCCTGGCTTCTAGCACTGCCTTTCTTTTTCACAGGACTCTTTTTTTGAAGGGGTCTCATTTTTATTATTTTATTTTATTTTCTGTATGTGAATGTTTTGCTTGCGTGTGTGTACATCACATGTCTTGGTGTCTGAAGAGAGAAGAGGGTGTGGGATCTCCCTAGAACTGAAGTAATCGATGGTTATGAGCTGCTATACACAGTACAGAATGGGAAATTAACTCAGGTTTTCTGCAAGAATAAGTGTTCTTCCTGCTGAGTCATTTCAGTCCCACAGGACTCTTTTGATAGTTATTGGTTAGTTTTGTTCTCATGCCTATGATCTTAGTAGAGTATGAAATACAGGTACAGGCAAGGGCAGAAATAGCTTAATATCCCTCCTATGTGTTCTGGAGTCTGCATAGAGATAGCCCTGCCTATGGCCATAGAGCAGCCTGTGGGCAGACAAGGGAGGGGTGTGCTGCCCTAGCTGGTGGCTGTGTCTCTGACAGGAGATGGCTGGGGACTTACTCATAGTCTAAGAGGGGACTCAGTGATGGAGTGATGAGGGGTTGACTGAGTTCACCCCTTTACCAAGTTCACCCTAGCCATACTAAGAAATTTCAGGGCTGGGCTTTCCCTCTGCTTGTTCATGAGGCCTCTTGGTCTCCTCTCTGCCTGTGCCAACCAGTGTTCCTGATGATAGTGGCACATGGTGCACACTTGTGTATTAGTTAATGAGTGGAGAGTAGGTGGCAGTTCCTTGGACTGTCTTGGTCCTTTGGGAAGCTTGATCCTGCATTTCCCCCTTCCTTTGGACAGTACCCCACATCCATGGCTTAGGAACTCCTTAACTGACCTTTTGACCTTTTCAAATCCAGATCCCAGGTTGATGGGAAAAATATTGAATATGAAGAGTGATGCTGAGATGTTGAGAGGTCGTGTGGACAATATCAGCACCCTGGGTTCTATTCTTGAGAAGGACAGAGGCTGTGTGGAGAAGGCTGAAGTTCAGATACAGACACTGAACACCAGCCTCACCCGTGTGCATTCTCAGATTCTGTCTTTGAGGACCAGCATGGCACAAGCCAGTGCTCAAATCCAGATATTAACAAGAAACTGGGAAAAAGTTGATAATCTCAGTTCTAAAATCCTGGAGCTGCAAAGAGATCTGGATAAAGCCAGCACCTTGAATGCAAAGGTCCAAACACTGCAGAGCAGCTTGGAGAATGTCAACAAAGTACTCCAAAGACAGAGTAAGTAAAGAGAAGATCACCCTGCAGGCTGACCAGTGGTCATAAAACCCTACCTGTCTTGAATAGGAGGCCAGCTAGCTTGTGGGTAGACAGAGGACAGGAAAGAGAGTGGGCTGGAAAGTTAACAAGGAAGGCATTAACTGTCAGTCCGAGAGAACTTGGGTCAGTGAGAGAGACCACACCAGGCCTAGCTTGAGTCTCTACACTAAGGTACAGAGTGTAGAAACATTAGGGAGTCTGTCCTGGCGTTCTGTATGGCCTGGAAAATAGCCATATTTTAGGTTTTGAGAGAGTGAGTTTATTAAGTATATAGTGAACTATAAATAAAAGAATGAATAACAAATGAGAGATGGATAGATGACTGATAGACAGGCAGACAGATACATAGGTGATAGATAGATTGATATAGCAAAACATCTAGTTGGGCACTCATAACATCCAGCAGAAATCAACTGGGGAAACCCGGCTGAGACCCTCGGTTGGAGTTCCTGATGGAGAGTCCCTGAGGAGCAGAGTGTCCCCTTGGGCAAGGCTTTCAAGTAAAAGAACAAATAACAGCTGGAAGGTGACATCATCAAGTGGGGAGCTACAAACATCGAGCAAAAACTGACTGGGGAAGTTGAAGCAGACAGCTGGAGTTCCAAGTGGAGCTTTCTTTCCATGGCTGAGTTTCCAGCTTCCCTTTCCCACTGAGGGGCCTTATACCATGGAACAAGCAGTAGTAACCTGTGTTGGAAATGATTTGGCTTCTAGCTGTTCACAAACACACCACATATTCATTTGGGGCTGCTCTCCTGTCCTCTTCTCTCAATATCACAGAGTTGGGGGGTGCAGTCCATCTCTAGACAAAGGGCCTTAGGGGGGACTTTGAGACAAACATGCTTGGGTCTGAAATTGGGAGGGGTGGGTAAACCCCTCCAGAGCCAGCTTCTCATTAGCTCACATAATGACATTTCACTAATATAATATGTACACGTGGCCTGTATCTTGCCTCTTCCCATGAAGTCCCTTACTGTGAGCCAGGGCCCTGGGGTAATGGTCCTTGCGTTCCTCTCATATTCTCCCCTCCCTGTCCCTGTACCTTTTCTACGCCCAGAGGGTCTATCACAAGTCTCAGACCTTCAGGGTTCCATTAGAGTGTCCCCAGCCCCTGACACTGGGAACCTAAGACCCTTGGATCCATTCACTGCTGTCCCCAGGATTCCATCAAACACCCCATGCCCAGTCAGGATGCAGAAGAATGTGGAGCACTGCTGTTACCTCAGCCTTTGTTTTCCAGGTGACATTTTGGAAATGATGTCTCGAGGCTGGAAATACTTCGGGGGGAACTTCTATTACTTTTCACACACCCCAAAGTCCTGGTACAGTGCAGAACATTTTTGCATTTCTAAGGAAGCTCATCTGACCTCAGTGACCTCAGAATCAGAGCAAGTGAGTGCAATCATCCCAGACTCTGTGGAGGGCATGTCAGAGAGGCTGGGCAGGAGTTTGCTGCAGTAACAAAAATTCCTCAACAGTCGATGATCTAAGGATGAAGGCTCATTTCTTGTGTGTGTGTGTGTGTGTGTGTGTGTATGTGTGTGTGCGTGTTGTGTGTGTATGTGTGTGTGCGTGTTGTGTGTGTGTGTGTGTGTGTGTGTGTGTGTGTTGTGTGTGTATGTGTGTATGTGTTGTGTGTGCAGGGGTGCAGGAGCGTGCACCCATGCATATGTGGAGGACATCAATTGTCCTGTTATATCACTGTCTAATTTCCTGAGCACTCCCTGGTAGCCAGCAAATAAGTCTCAGTGATCCTGTGTCTCTGCCTTCCACAGAGCTGGGGTTATACGGGTGCCAGGGATTTGAACTTAGAGCCTCATGCTTGAGTAGCAAGTTCTCCTACCCACTGGGACATCTCCCTAGGCTCATACCCTTGAAGGTTTATTTCTCATGTATACTGCACACTTTGAGGGACAGCAGGTGTCCTCTTAATTGTGGGTATCAAGGACCTAAGTCATAGGAGGGTTTATTTCATCACACATCACAGTTGCTGAAGCAGCAAGGAGACACTGCCAGCTTCATTGATGTTAAAGATCCTACACTCAGCTAACATGTCATTTCTGCTCACATGTCCCTAGCAAGAGCCAGTCACACAACCCTGCTAGCTTCAAAGATGGCAGCAGGGGGCGCTCTTTCCATGCGTCAGAGAATAGAAATAATTTGTGAACAACATCAATGATGCTCTAGGACCCAGGAGGCCTCCTTCTTGGTGTTGGAGTGTAGATGGGCTCATTGATCTGGGAGGTGGAAGAGTGAAGCAGAGTGACGCCGAGTGTCACAGTCTGCCATCAAATTTGTCCTGGAGCTTGGGGAGATGACTTACTTTTCCCAGGCCTCACCTTAAGTGAATTGATGAAATAGTGCCTGCCCTGGAGGGTAAAGGAGGGAGGGAGGCATAGGGGTCTTCTAGTCTCTGGCAAAATTAAAGTCTCATGTAAATTAGTTATTACCATTCAGGCCATTCCCTTGATTACCTTGTTTGCAGTTTAGCTGAATTTCCTTCCTTCCTTCTTTCCTTCCTTCCTTCCTTCCTTCCTTTCCTCCGTTTCTGTTTTATAGTTGTTTTCTTTTGACTCAGGATCTCTGTATGTAACTCTGGATGGCCTTGAACTCTCATTACCCTGGCCTCAGACTCCAGAGTGCAGGGATTTCAGGCATCTGCTGCCATGCCTGGCAGGCTGTGCTCTCACTGGAGAGCCCAGGTTCCAAGGTGTTAGCTGTAAGCAAAGAGCATCTAGGACTTGGAGCTCTGGGCTCCAAGCACAACAAGGAGGCAGTGAGAGAAGATGCTGTACCAGTGAGTCTGTGAATCTCCTGGGACACCGTCAAGTTCAGGGACTGCTGACTGTGCTCAAGTGAAGAGTACCCAATGGGCAGGTACTCAAAGCTGTGGTGGTGGCATGCCCTCACTTACTGTGTGTTCCTCACAGGAGTTTCTCTACAAGGCAGCAAATGGGCTTCCACTCTGGATTGGTCTCACCAAGGCAGGGAATGAAGGTGAGTGGTACTGGGTGGATAAGACCTCATTCAACAAGGAGGAAAGTAGGAGGTGAGTGAGTCTGCTGCGGCCTCCCCCGAGCCTGGCTTGCTGGGTGGAGAGTTCCCATGAACACGGGGCAGTGCACTGTCCTTTTCTAGCACAGTGGCAGCTGGAGTGGACACCCAGCTAGCTGCTGCTGCTCACAGGGTGGTACCTGGGGCCAGTTGGGAACCTGATGTCCTATGGTCTTGGCAGCAAGATGTTCTGCCCAGCTTGGGTGAGGGACTGACCCAAGTCCAGGCCTATGTGGTATGGGATTGTGAGAGCCTTGAGAGGAGGGGGCAGGGATGCAGCAACAGGCTTAGAGTGGAAGTTATACTCATCTTCTTAGGGTTGGGAGCAACACCTTGCATTACTGTCTCCAAGGATGAACACTGGGATTGAAGCAGCCCATCAAAATTATTTATTTTATTGTGTGTGTATATGATGTTTGTGTTAGAGAGAACATGTGCCACATCTGTGTAGAGGTCAGAGGACAACTTGTCCAAGTTGGTTCTTTCATACTATGTGGATCCTGGGGATTAGACTCAGGCCCTCAATTTTGCTTGCCAGGGTCCTAACCCACTGAGTTGTCTAAAATAACCACTTTTTAAGACAGTATCTCATGTATCTCTGTCTGGCTTGGAACTTGCTCTGTAGCCTAGGTTGACTTTGATGCTCCTGACTCTACCTCCTGAGTGTTGGGATAAAGGCATATGCCACCATGCCAGTCTACTTGGTGTAGCTGGAGAGCTTCTCTCTGGGTCCCGCCGAGCCCCGGCAGTCCGACAGCCCACTTATAAAATAAACACACAGACTCTTATATTATTTACAAACTGTATGGCTGTGGCAGGCTTCTTGCTGACTGTTCTTATATCTTAAATTAACCCATTTCTATAAATCTATACCTTGCCACGTGACTTGTGGCTTACTGGCATCTTCACATGCTGCTTGTCATGGTGGCGGCTGGCAGTGTCTCCCCCACTCAGACTTCCACTTCCCAGAATTCTCCTTTCCTTGTCCCACCTACTTCCTGCCTGGGCACTGGCCAATTAGTGTTTTATTTATACAGAACGATATCCACAGCAACTTGGTGCTGTGGATCCACTACAGGGCTCTCTACATTCTAGGCAGGCCTTCAACCAGGTGAATAAAGTGTCTTTGTTCTCACTTGGTAGGTTCTGGATTCCAGGTGAACCCAACAATAATAGGAACAAAGAACATTGTGCCAGTATAAAGTCATCCTCCCCCCAGGCCTGGAATGATGCTTCCTGTGACTATAAGTTCCTTTTCATCTGTAAGCAACCTGGTATTCAGGCAGTCCCATGACAGGCCTGGCCCTGAGCTCAGCATTTGTGTTCCAACAGTGATCTAGCTTGAGGAGATGCTCTCTCCCTGACACTCCAAGATTGCTGTGCACCTTAAGTTTTTCTTGCTTGAAAATGTCTGAAACATATCATGTTGTCCATCTGTCTTGGCTGGGAACTCTGTCCCTGGAGGGCCTTGGAGGGGGTTGGGTTAAAAGGGCTTGGACATGGAGAAGATGTAGATGTTCCTGCTGCCCAAGAGAGGCAGGTCAGTACCCCGACATCTGCAGAATATTTTGTTTGGGTTTTTATGATCCTTCTAAGAAGCCTTTGCTGACCATATATAAAAGCTACATTCAAACATGACCAGTGTTTGAGGACACAGACATGTTTAGCCCAATTTAAACACTATACACTTTATACATGCATTAGAACACCTCATGCTACTCTCAAAATGTGTAAATATTTCAAGTTTTTATGTGTCCATTGCAAATAAATTTAAAGACTTACTTTTTTTTACATGAGTGTGTGTGTTCACAAGTTCAGAAGAGGGTGTCTAATCCCCTAAAGCAGATGTTTACAGATGTTTATGAACCACCTAACATGGGTGCTGACATCCAAACCCTGGCCTTCTGATAGAGTAGTAAGTTTTCTTAACTGATGACCCATCTCTTCAGTCCTGTAAATTTAAATTATAACAGAAAAGAACAAAACACAAAAGTATATCAGAAGGCTGGAGTGTGACTCAGAGGGTAAAGTGCTCTTGTGGCACTAGTGACCCCGAGTCTGAGCTGCAGGACCACACAACAGGTGTGGTGGTGCATACCTGTGGTCCCAGCAGTGAAGAGGTGGAGGAGGAGAATCAGAAGCTCAAGGTCATCTTCAGCTACATAGTGAGTTTGAGGCCAGCCTGATATACAAGATCCTGTTTTTTGGACAGTTTGCTTCAGGGTAACTAAGGGATTCTTCCCATATTGCCATGAGGCTTTCTCAAGTTGAGACCACAATTCCCATATGTCTATTTAGGAGCACTGGCAGGGGCCTCTGGCTGTTTTCTGTGGGAATAGCTGTTTTTGGTCACCCTGTCCACACCATATTCCATCACCTCTTTATCCACTTTCTCTGAGGTTTGAATCCCCATTTCTCTTGACTGAGCTAACCCAGTGCAGGTCGGGACTGGCAGGTCCTCTGCCTTCTTTTGAGCTGCCTGGTTGAGCTCCCCTTCCTCATGCCACCAGGCCATCACATGCTCAGTACCCCTCCACCACAGCAGTCTTTGTCTTTTACCTCTCCTCTCCGTTGTGTTCCCTCTCTTGCTATGCCCTGTGCGGATAAAGTCCTCTCTGCTTTAAACACCTCTTGGCTCAAAGCCTTAGAGTGCAGGTTTTCATTCCCAGTGGCCACTGAACCTAAAAGAACATGTAGTCTTGGGGTACATTCAGATAGAGAATAAAAAATAAAGAATAAGGGCTGTCTGGCCCTGGAAATACCAATAACCACAGGAACGGCTTATCTTCAGTTTTTATTAATTATGGTAAGGTTTGAAAAAAGTCTCTCCTTGGAGCTCCTGGGTAGTCAACCTTCTGTTCTCTACCTCTGTTCCCCGGGGAACCTTGGTGAGGTCCTCATTCTTCACAGAGTCTGGGTTTCCAAGACATGAGCTAGAATCCTGAGACCAAGGCCTGAAAACAGGGGTCACCAACAGGGGGCAGCAGAGAGAATGCAGGTGGTGTGAGCAGGACTCCATTGAGGATACTCAATACTCAGGAGAAACCTTCCTCTCTCCCTGCCTCCCTCCCTGCCTCCCTGCCTCCCTCCCTCCCTCCCTCCTTCCTTCCCTCCCTCCGTATCTCCCTCTCTCCGTTCCTCCTTCCTTCCTTTCTTCATTTCTTCCTATCTTCTTTCATTCCATTATTCCTTTATTCCTTAATTTATTTTTATTTTTATTTTTCGAGACAGGGTTTCCCTGTGTAGTATTGGGTGTACTGGAACTCACTGTGTAGACCAGGCTGGCCTTAAACTCACAGAGATCCCCCTGCCTCTGCCTCCCGTGTGCTGGGATTAAAGGGGTGCATCACCACCACCCAGTGAGACATTCCCTTCTTAAGAGTTCAGTTGGCAGGGTACTGCTGAGTGAGAAGGAGGGAGAGCAGAGAGCAGAGCTTTTGTTTTTATTTTTTGACACAGGGTCTTTCTATGTGGTCCTGCTTGGCCTGGAACTCACAGAAATCTGCCTGTCTCTGCTCTTACCTCTCCAGTACTTGCACTAAAAGTGTGCCCCACCACACCAGGCTGTAGGCTTGTGTTTAGGGTCAGGACATCTTTGAGCCTCCCAGGTCTCCAAGGACCTCAGCCTGAGGTCCCTTGCTATTACCAGTCACCTGCTGAAAGGCTCCCCATCTGTCTAGCACCCCACCATGGAACCAGCTGCCTTCCATTTAGTTTTCAATGTGATGGCTAAAGAAACTCCATTTTGTGCTTGCCATCCACCTTGGTACCTAATAGCCATTTTATTCCTGACTAAAACCTCTGGAAGATAAGTTCCCTGCAACCTTGGCTCCTCCACTCAGAAATGCACAGCCATGATATGATCATCTGTTGTTATGCTATGACTAACTGCTAAATTTTGGCTTCTGTACCTTGCTTTGGTAGATATTGAAGAACTGTTTTAAAGTCTCCTTGACCACTTACTCTTGGCCAAGCAGAACAGCTTCTGTTGCTTTTGCCTTTAAAATCCCCTCCTTCACCTGCCTCTGGGTGGCATGTCTTGAATTTGGGTTAAAGACGGCAGCCTTGCTAGTAGTTTTAATAAATTCGGCTAATTATAATCTGAATTGAGGATGGTGTTTTTTTCCCCCAATAGTCTCAAGCTCCATAACTTTGGAGACCCCAGAAAGATCCTGGGAGAACACAGATTCAGAACCTGGGTCCGGGATAGGTCCTAGTGAGGGAAAGTCTGGGGCAGACTTGGAGGCCCTGGGAAGCCTGATTCCACAGCTGCCACAAAGTATAGAGTCACTAGTTAGGGTCAGGTCCTAGATGGGGGCAAGTCTCACAACTCAGAGTCTTTGGGGGTGAACAGCCCTAGTTGGGGGCAGGCATATTTGTGGACTTGGGTTTCCAGGGGAGCTCCAGCCTGTGATCACTGCAAATTTGCAAAATAGAAACCAAATAAAAGAATTGCCAGCTGAAGCATTCTTAAAATAGGACCGATGATGAGTTGTTCTAGAGTTCTGGACATTTGGGGAGACATAGGGGAGATCAGAAGTGATCACAGACTCAGTCTCCAGGCATACAGACATGTTTCTGGTGTGCTTATACGTTTTTTTGCAGAAACAGGAACCAGACTGAACACAGCCAAGTTGCCCTTGAACTGCATGCTGCAATACTTCCAGGAGTTCTGCAATGCAGATTATAGAGCTAGGATGTCACCCAGACAGCTCTTGACTCTGTGCATAAGAATGGCCCACTTTTGATGTGGGATGGCCTGATGCAGGGCCATTTGACCCTCAAACTGCCAAGAGAGTCTAGCAAGTAGTCACAGGGAACCTTGGTTCCTCTGACAGTTTCCTTACACTAACTGCTGGCTCTTCTTTCTCTTGAATCCCCTCCTTGGCAGAGATGTTAGGCCCTTAAAAAGGTTCCTCTGAGTCACCAAGTCAATGAGTTAGAGGCTGAGCAAAACCTAGGCAAAATGCCTGGACTTTCTGTTCTAGTCCTGGAGGAAGAAGAGGAGGAGCAGAAGGAGGGGAGGAGGAGGAGGAAGAGGAGGAGGAGAAAGAGAGGGAGGAGGGGAAAGAGAATGAGGAGGAGAAAGAGGAGGAGAGGAGGAGGAGGAGGAGGAGGAGGAAGAGGAGGCTGTGGAAGAAGATGATGATGATGAGGAGCTACAGGAGGAGTCGTGAGAAGAGGAGCAGGAGGAGGATGAGGAGTAGAGGAGGATGAGGAGGAAGAGGTAGAGGAGGAGGAGGAGGAGGAGGAGGAGGAGGAGGAGGAGGAGGAGGAGGAGGAAGCAGCAGAGGTTTCCTCACCTCACAATCCAAACATCCAGCCAGTTCAGGATCTGACTGTCTGTAGTCCAGGAATCTCTCTATATCTGTCCTTACATCACACTCCAGGAGAGGACTGGCTTATGCTCCACTCTAGCTGAGCCAGACCCCTGCTGTTCGCCCTCTTAGAGAAGCACCCCCTAGTGGGTGCCCATCCCTGACAGAGGAAGGGGCTGATGGGGAGCAGAGGCCCAGATCTTCTTTTCTAGTTTATGCTCCTTTTTTGATCAGTGATTGTACAAATGGAAGATCCAGAACCCTCCCTCTATGAGAAGCCTCAGGCTCTCATCAGCCTGTTGGAAACTTTTCTCTACCCATCAACCCACCTGGGCTGATTGTAAGACATTTCTAGGTACCCTTTTTTTTTTTTTTTACTGCATATGAGCCGCCAATTGTTCAGTTCTCAAGCTCAGCCTTGCCTATAAGGGTACACAGTGCCCATCTCAAGAGCAGCTAATGTGGTTATCAGAAAGCACAGCATCTGCTTTAGGGATGCGGGAATTTTGGTCCCCTCCCCTCACCTTGGAACACTCCACTGCTCCCTGTTGTTAAACCTGGCACTAAAGACTATTGTTCTGTTGATGACTTAAGGCAAGCAATAAGAGAATGGAAATTATCTACCCATCTGGGCCAAACAAATACACTTTGGAGAGCCTATTAGATCTAGGAAAACTGTATACACCTGAAGATACCATTTTCTCTGTACCCCAGGTCTCTATAAGCCAACTATATTTGCTTTTGAATAGACAGACTCAAGTCAGGGTATAGTGAACAACTGACCTGGACCTGACTACCACAGGGGTTTAAGAACTCAGTGCCAAAAATCTGAGAAATTGCTTAAAATACTCTAGCTGCTGGGCTACTGCATGTCTACCCCAAAGGCCCAATTGTGCTCCAATAAGATAACTTATCTGGGGTATTGCTTAGAGGGTGGCAACAGGACTCTGTCCTCAAGCAGGATCCAAGCTATCTT